AAATTAAGCCCTTTGTTAGGAAACAATTGGGCTTGATTATGAAAACTTTTCCCGTCTTGTCAGTGAGAACTAAAACAATCATGTTGGTTGCAGTCTTAAAGATCACCTAACTCTGCCCCCAGATTTCTGTCGCTTGACCACCAGATTAGTCACTTTTGCCACATCTCCAAACTAACAAACTCTTATTTACTTGATTTAAAAAATCAATCTTGGGGCTGGGGATTTAGCTCAGCGGCTAGCAGGCAGTCGTGAGTTCGATCCCCGGTACCGACAAAAAGAAGAAAAATGACCAAAAAAAAAAAAAAAATCAATCTTAAATGAACTCACACAGCTTATTCTAAGCAATCAAATGAATGAAATCGTAGATTTTTTTCATTTTTTTTCTGAAGCCACTAAAAAAAGATGTAATAATTTAAAATCTAGTGCTTTTTAAATGTTTGCCCTAAAAAAGTCTTGCCTATCACCATTGATATATATTGTGCTTAAGAAATAGAGGTCTAATCCAATCTTCGAGTTTCCAGAACAGAAAACTGACACCCAGAGAAACAAGCCTGTTCCCTAAAGACTCAGATGCATTTGGGAAGGCCTTCTGTCTCCTTTGGTTTAATTTGTTCCACTTTCACTCTTTTGTTTACTGGTCTTTCCACAAAATATTCAGCTTGAGTGTCAGTAAGTAGACAAATAATTCTTGAGGTAGGCTAATGCTGCTCTCATGTGTTGATGGAGGCAAAACATGAGGTTTGATGATCATCTCTTGATACCAAGATGTAGTAGCAATGAATCATTATTGCATAAAGGCAGCATTCTGTTTTGTGGTCCTTGGTATATTGTTTTGCCAAAATAAAGCTCTGTCATACTCTACTGCCACTGCCAATTTAATATTATCTATTGTTGAAACAAATAAAAGCCTTACTGAAAAAACATGCAATGATCCATCTCATCAATCACTTAAAATTCCATAAACAAAGCTCATGGACATTTTCCCTCTTATTTTACAAAAAATACCAAGTAATTTTACTTCACTGCTATTTTGATAGCAAAAAATTAGACCGTTACCTAGTAAACAAAACTACTCTAAATTCATCTTTTGACCATTCAAAGTCAAATTTAAAGAACATCTAAAAGTTTTTAATATTTGAGATTCCAAGTAATCAGCTTTGGTCTAGCGAGGAAAAAAGCTACATTTTCTATGATCATGTGGTAATATCCACTTACAGCAGGCTGTGTTTTCCACCCCAACCTTCCTTCTGAAGGAAAAAAAAAATATTTCAAATATACTTTTAAAAGCTATCCTTTTAAAAATGTCAAGAAAGCTAAAAACATAGCAAAGAACTATCAGGCTATGACAAAAGAACTCAGTGAGACAAGTGACATTTGTAAGCTAGAAGTAACAGGGATGAAACATGAAAAAAATAAATAAATTACTGTTCTGATGGCTTCCTGGCCAAGAATGGTAACGTCGAAGTGCAGTTTGCCCAGGGTAGAGAAGCGAACAGTGCCCAACTTATGCACCTTAACTGGGACCTTGTGGGGCACACCACCAGGGTGATGAGAGGGAGAAGCAAGCCCACTTCTTCCCCACCCCAAAGAACTGGAGAGGCCTTATTGGAGAGGGAGGAAAGCTGTACTTGAAAGATGCTGGTGCACCTGAGTACCTGAAGCCCATGCAAAAACTGTCAAGGACACTACAGAGCCCACAAAGCCACTATTTTTCTCATCTTACGGTACATGTTACCACCTAAAGCAGGAGTGACCAGGGTGGAAGGGAGATTGCTTTGGTGTTCAGAATCAGTAGTCTCCTCCTCCACCACCCTCAGGATTCCAGCCAGACCCCCACGCCTGAAAATTCCATTGCCTAATGAAAGGAACCCCAGTGACTATGCACACTGCAGTTTGGAAGGAAATGGGTCATCTTACCAGGCAGTTTCCACCTTTATAGGTATCCAGCCCCGGGTATTTTGTTGCAAAACCAGAAAACAGACTAATACACCACCGTCAAAGTACCACCCCTAGCCCCACCCACTGACCAAAGTTCAATCAGGAGACCAAAGAATTGCATGGCACCCAGCAAAAGCTCACAGTGCTCTGTGTTTTGTGCATCTAGACTTTTAAAACAAGAGAACCAAAGGCAAGAACACTACAACCAAGAGGCGGTTGTCCCAGGATTACATAGTTGAGAGCAACTATTCTTACCTCTTCTCTCTTCAGTGAGTGTTTCATTTCCCAAATTTTGCTAGCCTGGTGCAAAATGAGTGTGTGAGTGTGTGTGTCTGTGTGTGTGTGTGTGTGTGTGTGTGTCTGTGTGTGTGTTATAATTTCAGAAACTAGAAGAATAAGACTCACAACTTAGTATTTTTCAAGGTCCGAAGACACTTTGCAACTATGGAATTAACTGTCTGTGGGTAAAAAAACACCCTCCTCCCTGCACGTGATGCTGTACAGAGCTGCCTTTCTGCATCACATGGAAAGTGCATTATCTCTTTTTCTCCATCTAATGATTTTCTCCTGGCTGAATTCCAGTGTCTTCTCAACTGAGTCATCATTTCTCTTTATGCGTGAAAGAGTCTTCTGAATCCCTCGTTTTTCAGAACTGCAGATTAGAAACCTGTCAAGACCCTCACAGCACTTTCCGTGATCTGGAATCCAGAGGCCCAGACTGAGGGAGCCCACCCCAACAGGGAGGTGGCAAGGAAGCAGCTCCCTGGCATCAGCTTCCCAGTCTAGCAGCTGTCGCCGTTCCTGGATAAGAACCAAGGAAGTCCAATCCTTAGAGTTTGGAGCCAGTAGGCACAACAGAGGTCTGGCAGGGGACAGCCTTGCAGAAGGAACCCTTCCACCTGTGGTGGCAGCAAGGGAAATAAAAAGCCTCTCCCAACCAGAGTCATTCACCAGGGAGCGGGTCCCTCCTTTCTCCACATTTGTTGAAATGCAAATTATCCTTGAAAGGTCAAGCCTTTAAAAAAAGAAAAAACTACTTTCCACATTTATGTGAATATGTTTCTAGTCTTGTTCTCTCAAAGCCATTTTTGATTAGAGGAAGAGGAAGTTTCAAAATTAAACAAAACACATCCATATACAAAAGTGAGGCATTGGAAAAGAAATTTTGGGGGTATTAATCCCATTCTCTGTGCCAGCCTCATTTAAGTCTGGGACCCTCCTGAACTGCAGTAGTCACCAGTTTCCTACAGCTTCTGGATTGATCGTGTTATTCATCAGAACTCTCAGTAACAGCAATGATGCAATCCAACCTCCAACCAAGCATTGCATCTCAGTGACACAGTGGCAGAGCGCAGATGCTGTAATGGGAACTGGAGCAAGCTGAGGAACTGCGATCCAGAGACCAGGGTACGGGCCAGGACCAGCTGGCTCACAGCACTGATCAGACGTGGGGGGCGAGGAGCCAGGGATTTGGCTCAGTGGCATTAAGCGCCTGCCTGACAGGCACGAGATTGTGAGTTCAATCCCCAGTAACCCCCCACACACAAAATTAAGTGAGATGCAAGGAAGCATTTGGCAATTTATGCACTGCATTTCTTCCCACCTCATGGCCCTTGGAGTGTTATTCACAGCCTCAGACAGAAGCCCATGCTCCCCAAATTTGATCCTCAAAATTACTCCGGCAATTGCTAAATCTGAGTGTTGGGCATTTAGGGATCCATTTTACTATTTTTTTTTCTGGGTGTGTTCAAAATCTTTTTAAGTAAAGTAACTTTTAAAACAATCAATGTCCTAGCTTCCCCAAAGGGAACCCCCTACCTTTTTACTGTCTTCACAGTACGGGAGATTGAACTGATTGAACGGGGACCTTTGCACTGAGCTGTGTCTCCAGCCCCTTCTCCAATTTATTTTGGAGAAAAGGTCTTGCTGAGTCACTAAAAAGTTCCTGCTGAGCTCAAACTTGCAGTCTTCCTGTCTCAGCAGAGGGCAGGATGCCTAGACATCTTTTCCCTCTTAAAGGCACATTCTCGATGCCTTTTGAAACAGCAAGCCCGAGCATAAACACATATCCAGTATCCCCTACACATCTATTTTTTTTCTAATTTATTCTCCAAACAAAGTCTTTCTTTCTTTTAAACTAAATTTATTTGCTTATTTGAAATTCAACATTTAGCTGGCATCTGTTATTTTCATTTATGAGATCAAGCAAGATTTTTTCTTAAGCTCTAGTCAAGAGTAAGGAGAAGTAGGTTAAAGTTTTCCTTTTTGTCCCTTACTTTGTAACCAGGAACAAATTTTTCATCTTCTTTGGGCGTTAGTTTCATTATTCATAAAACAAGAGGCTTCATTCCAGCTCAAAATACTATGAAATGTGAATATGACTCTTATTCCAGCTCCTGAGATACAGGCAGAATAGCACACTGAATGGTCATGTTTCTGTCAATGAGGGACACACAGGTGACAGGGGTTCTGTAAGATTATGTCACCTATGACCACAGATGTCTTGGTTGGTGTGAGCATCCTCATGAGGCCACACAGTGACAGAGTTGCCTGGGATGCATTTCTCGGACCTTCTGTCTATCTCTAATGACACGTCTCACCCTTCACACAAGAGACCTCCTTTCTTCACAGGAATCTTGTGAAGCAAACTCAGAAAATAAAAGAATTCTGCTCTCAAAACATCAGGCAGATAAGCCAAACCACCGTGCACCATTTCCGGAGCGCCAGTGGGGTACCAGGCCGTGATGCAAGTGCTTTCATACATGACCTGGTTGCACCCTCACAGCAGCACGATAGAGAAGTTCCCCATTTCACAGACCTGGTGACAGAGCACCAAGGAAAAGACAACACATCCTGTGCTTACAGTTAGTTGTAGCAGAGCCACCGCTGACTTGCATGCAGGGCTGGCTCCAAAGCCCTGGGATCACCTCTCCAGCCCTCTCGTGCAGCAAGGGGCAGGAACTGGTAGACCCAGAAGGGCAGGTGGACGGTTCTGGCTTCTAAATCAGGCTTTAGGTTTTTCTCTTGTGAGTGAATCCCCATGGTGCTGGGTATATCTATGTTAAAATATGGATACAATGGATTTTAGAACTGCCAGGAAAACAATTTTCATCAACTTACTGTCGCTCATTTTATCTATTGACATTTAAAATTCATTTTTATCTGTTAGTCAGCCAACTTTTATTAATTGTTTTCTATTCACACAGCACTGAGCTGGGCAATGTAAGACTTCAACCTATTGTGGAGACAAGATACAAATACAGATGCTGGGACCAGGTAAATAACAGGTGGAGACTTTGGATACATTAAACAAGTAGGATTTAGAGACAGTGGAGATGTGCCAGGGTTGGGGTTACTGCAAAGACCTGGTGGAGGAAGCAGGATTTAACACAGGCAATGAAGGGAAGATTCGAAAAGGCTGGAGACAAAGAAGAGTATTCTGGATGGTTGGATGCACCTAAGCCTCAGAAGAGGTGACACCAAGTGGCGTTTAGAGAGGAAGGAAGTTTGACAAGACAAAAATAGGAAAATGGCATGGTGCAAAGGCACAGAGGACTAAATCCAGGGGCAGAGGAATCAGCATGTCGTGACACAGGCTGCACCTAAGAATGTGATAGGAAAGGAGGGTCTTGGACCTGGTGTCTGCATGGTACTAGAAGCTGCTTGTTACAGCTGTGTCTAGATGTCCCCCAAAGCCTCATGTAGTCATGGGTGGTACTTTTCAGAGCTGGCTGGATTAGAGTGTGTGGTGCTGGGTGTGTGCTTACTAAATTGGCCCACTGATCAGTCTGGCATAATTCTGAGTGTGGATAATGGGAAGTCCAACCTTGATCTTAGTGCTGCGCCCACCCCAAGGGCATGTAGCCCGGAGAGAAGACAAGAGACAGAAAGCGCGCTGCTGAGGTCACTGTTGTTGCTTCTGCTTCTTCACCACTTTGCTGTCTTGCTGACTTCTGCCCACCCTGAGCTGTTTCTCCTCTGAGCGCCCCTCTGCCACGCCGCCTTGCCTGGGAGCCAGCACACTAGGGACTGAAACCTACAATAAACTTTTTCTCCTCTAACTTTGTGTGTTGGGTATTTTGTCTCAATAAACTGAAAAGTGACTAACAGGCTGCTGAAGAGGTTTCCAAGGACAGAAATACGTGAAAATCGATATTAGGTGATTGGTCAAGCTGCAAAATGTATATTAGGGGAAATTGTTTCATTTGCCCTATAAAGCACACACATTGAGGGCCTGGTGTGCTAATGTATAAAGACAGATGTCAAAGGAGGTAAGTTCCTGTGATGATGCTTATTGTCCAATAAGAGAGGACTAACACCTACAAGGGCCTGTTACCTGTCCTTTAAGTTAGTTTGTGACATGATCTACCTCAGGCTTTATTAGCTGTTTATCCACTATCTGAGCCTCTCTTTGTCCTTAGTAATAGAATCAAGTTTTGTTTGTAAGACAAGATGCAAAGCCTTGGACAGCAGGTCACATTTCATCTAAATCAATGTTTCCCAACATTTTTTCATTATCATTCCTTTAAGTTATCACAATTTTAATTGCATATCATAGATATACTAAATATCTGTTTATGTGCTATTAGATATATCTGTACTTTATGTTGTCTAAGGGTAAAAACAAAGTTCTTTCCCTGCCTTTTTTATTCTACAAAAGAATATTCTTCCCGTTGGAGATGACATCAGCAGGACCTTCCAGCTCCCATCTGCACCCCAAGCCCCACACCTCCACCCCTCACTCCTTTCATTCTTTATACTTTATCTTTAAGAATTCATGGTCTAGTTACGCTAGTGATGCTAACCTATAATCCCAGTGCTCTGGGCGGCTGAGTAAGGAAGTTCACAAATCCAAGCCCAATTTATCAATTTAGCAAATTAGTGAAACCCTGTCTTAAAATTAAAAAAATAAGTTAAATTTTAAAAGGACTGAAGGACTGTAGATTTAGCTCAGTGCAAAGACTCTAGATTTGATCCAGTACCACCACCAGCACCACCAAAAAAAAAAAAAATGTTGTAAAGGGGAATTACAATTCACTTTCTGTTTCTTCATCTTCCTCAAGCTAGATAATGCAATCCAGTCAGTGACACAGAAGGTAATGTCACTGTTAGGAAATCTCTGGGAAAATTCTACTTTTCCTGGAAAAAGAGACAGCCACAGCGAACTCACCTTCCTTTCTCAATTCTCATGCTCCAGAATGGAAAAAAAAAAAAAAAAAAAAAAAGACTGAAGAACTAAAAGCCACAGCTCTTACCTTGCATCTACCAGGATAAGGAACGACAAGACTGTAGACCGTCTGACTGAGTCCCGGGCCAAACACACAGACATAAGCCTCAGGCTTCTCGTTACACAGAACCCTGAATCCAGGGTACTGTACAACTTTGCAAGTGAAAGTGTTGGTCAGACACTGTATTCTCAGAAACAACGGTCCTAACATGACCATGAGTTTTTAAACCAAAGCCAGAAAGGAGCATGCCTAAAGAAAAAATGTAATCAGGAGGGCTGGCGATATAGCTCAGTGGCATAAGCACCTGCCCGGCAAACAAAAGGTCTTGAGTTGAAAAAACAAAGTAATCAAGAATACCACACAAATCAAACAGGAGATTGCATTCATGTTGAAACGGGAAACTTTTTTTGTTGTTAAACTAACCAGCTTTTCAAAGAATTTTATAACATCTCAGCATTTGGCACTTAACATGAACAATCTTTTAGATATTTGCTATTGCTGTGTTGAAAAATGTCCATGAAAGGAAACGTAAGGTAATTCTCCTACTTCACACCAAAATAAATATATTTATGATTTATCTAGCAGGCATGTGTTTTGAAATATTTGAAAGTCAATTATTCCTAAATTGACTATTTAAGATACATAAGGAAAATGTACTTCTTAAAAGATCCCTTGGGGACCCCCTTACATGTTAAAAATTCAGAAATACTCATCTGTATTCGTCACTTTAAAGTTTTATATTTTGCTTAAATTCTGAAAGTAGTTATGAAGCTAATTCTCCCATATTAAAAAACATAAGCCATTCATATGCATATTTAGTAACTCCAATATTTTTCATTAAAAATCATTTTCTCCTCTTAGGAGAGTATCTCAGAAAGAGAGCGCTTGCCTGGCAGGCCCAAGGACACTGGGTTCAATTCCCAGCATGGGAATAGAAACAAAATTTCTGTGCTTATTAAGGTTAAAGACCCAAGAAACCTGAAACTGTTCTAAATCTAACATTCCTCTAAATTTTAAAACATATAAGGATAGACTTAGAGCTTTCAAAGTATTCAGTTTCCTTCAAAATGTTAAATAATGTTCATGTCAGTTTTATTGTTAACCTTTCACCAAAAATTGGTTTTCTTTTAATGAAGTTACTGGCCTTTTTATATAAAAATAATACATGCTAGCTATTAAAAAGGTGGAAAAAATGAAGAACATCTTAAAATCATATGTAACTTTATCACACACCAAAAAATCACGTAATATACTGCTTTGTTTGCCTCCATATTCAGAACTCATAAATAAAAACACATATATAAGCCTTTTATATATAAGCATGTATGATTTTTATAATTTCAGTTTTTTTCACTTGTTATTAAATATTCTTCAAAAATATCACAATTAAAATTAAATAGGATGAAAGATAGCTTGTTTAATCACTGATTTCTGTTGAGCATTTTTTAGGTTCATTTTAAGTTTCTCTATGATAAAAATCATGTGAAAAAGATCTGCCTTTATTGCAAAACAACTTATGCTGTTCACTTAGGAATAATTCTCAGAAGTAATAAAAAGCTATTAATATTTACAGGCTATTTGTTCATACTGCGCAACTATTAGTTATTTTTCTGAAGTCTTCTGAAGCTATCTAAAAGAATTCAAAATCACAGTTCAGAACAGAGCATATCAAGCAGAACAATTTGGCCCTCTTCTCTGACTGGCTGGTGATATTATTTATAAATTCTATTTTTGGCCAATATTTTATAGGAAACGAAAAAATATTATAAAATCTAAAGGTTTCAAATCCAACTTTAAGGACAACTAAACTTGGTATTTATTCTGTATTTCACCCTGATCATTAATCATTTGAATAATTAAGAATCATTAAGCACTCTCAAAATTTGCAAAGGAGACAAAAAATAATTATAATTGATAAAATAACAAACTACATACCTGTGGAGAAATAAAATCAATTATGACCAAATTTTAAAGGAAAGAGCACTAATGTTTAAACTCCGACTGCACAGATGAATGTAGGAAAAGCTTTAAAGTAGATTATTTCAGTTCTCCAAAGAAAAGGACGGTTAAGTGGTGGAAGACTTATGATAATATAACTCCGTGAACTGGGCTGGTCACAGATCAAAAAAATAAATAAATAAACATGAACTTAAGCTGAAAACATTGACTTTTTGTCCTTAAATATACTTGTACAAATTAGTTTTTAAACTGAAACTATAGACATCTAACCCCTACTAGAAGAGAAACTTTAATTTTTCTTCCCTTATACATATGTGTGTGATGGGTCTTTGCTATATACCCTGTCAAATGGGCAGCCATTGTAAAAATCCAAAACTCTTAGTTTGATTTTAATCTTTGATCAAGTTTTGTATAGGACCCCTCTGTGGCCATGTGAAAACCATCCATGTATTCTCATGTTTCTAGAGTTTAGCAGAAACATTGACACAATTATATTTTAATGCTTTTTCTGAAATGTAGAGGATAAAAAGAAAGAAAAGATAGCCAGAGACCTGCAAAAGATTCCTATAGATGCCCTTCATTAATTCAAATGATTTTTACCCATTAGCTATATTTCTATTATACAAAGAAGTAATACTGAAGCCTTTTAAGATAGATTTTATTTATTCGGAGGGAAAACACTGGGATGGTGGCAATTTTAATGCATAAAATTTACAAATAAAATATATAAGATATACATTATTTTTGCTACAATGAATATACATTACCATTATACACCTACTTACTGTTATATTTTAAAAATTAACATTATTACTCTACTTCTCTGACACTGCCAACTAGTCTGCCTATAGGAATGAACTAACAATATTGTTGTAGCAGCTATAGGAAATTGTGGTACTGCTAATATGTAAAATTTTGCTAGCTGTTCGCCTCCTATTTCCTGTATTTACCTCCAACACACCTCTCCTCCCTCATGACAACCAGAGGAAGAAAAACTACTGATACAAATTTCAACCAGCCACTCCAAAAGAGAGTGGCAAATCAGGATTCATCAAGCATGTACAACCAAGACACCAGGTGGATTTTTGTAGATGATGGCGATGGCTTTTCATCATTTAAAGATGAATCCACATCTGTGGCTTTTCTTTCTGCTAGAAGGAATTATCACAGGCCACCCTTACACTTCCCCACCACGGCCAGGATCATTTTCAGTTCACAGCTGGAATGGACACGGGTAGAAATTTTTTTCTTGGTACTGGCAGTCGAACTCCTGATCTCGTACTTGCCAGGCAGGCGCTTATGCCACTGAGCTAAATCCCCAACCCTGGTAGAAACTTTTGTGCCAACTGAAAACAAAGCACAAGATAGAAGGAAAAAAAGTCCATGGTGACAGATGTGTGTTTAGAGGTGCCACAAGGATGATAGCTGGACCAGAAGCGGGGCGAGGTGGACGGAAAGTAGGTTCCTACCTGAACGAAACAAGAAACATGGAGGAGGACTGTGAGGACTGGCTCCCCACAGCAGCAGCAGGCTGCTAGTCACACGGGGAAGCCGTGTCTGGACGAGGAGTTGCTGCTGGCTGTTAGTGGATGTGCTAAGCAGATGTTCCTCATAAAGGTGTTATATCCTAAACTGAAAATATCGTCAAGTTGAAAATGCATTTTGTTCACCTAACCTACTGAATGTCACAGCTAAGCAGAGCCTATCTTAAACATCAGAACACGAACTTTAGCCTGTGGCTGGGAAAAAATATGTAACATGATATTTATATCATAAGAAAGTGTTGAATATATCACGTAACTTATTGAGTATTGTACTGAGAGTAAAAAACAGAATGGCTGTGTATTGTGTGGCACCCACCATAACAGAGTTGAAAATTCATCAAGGCCAGTGACATAAATCAGGGCCTGCCTTCCGTATTTGTGCTTTGAGGACTATGGCTGGAGGTTATGTGGTACGTTATTATTAAAATATATATTGAAAGTGGCAGGAAAACTAATCACGGGTGTATATTAACCAAAATGGTAATCGAAGATGAGTTGCACTTATTACATGAATGCCTGCTTAAGATTTTCATTTTCTACCTCAAACACAGAGGTACAATTCTCATGCTATCCGCAAAGAGAATCTTGACTCATATTTCTCAGTTTATTAGCCAATTTCAATATTTGTTCTCTGGAGGTTTGAAGATGGATTCAGTTCCCCTCCCTGCCCTATCTAGCCACTCTCTGTCCATGACATAACCCCACGGTCTCATCGCCTTCTGACCAGTTAAAAGGGGTGGGCCTGGGCTCAGTCTCCATGCCCTGCCTGGCATCTCAGGCCAGGTGGACAAAGAGGTTACAAAAGATGTGAACTTTCAATCAAAAATACAGTTTCCCACATTATCAGTCAGGTGCCCACTGACTGACTAAGGCCAGCTGGGCTGCCGTGGGCAGAGGTCTACACAGCGAGGCTTGTCACCAAAGTCATCAGACACTCAGCTTCACGGAGTGACTCTTGCACTCAGAAGCAAGCACATGATATAACGGCCAATGCCTTCACCCCTGAAGTGGGCTGGCTCGGTGTCAACAGCTGAAACGTGTCAGATGACCCATGGCCATTCTCTCACTACCCTCTAGAGTTGGCCAGCCCAGTATTTATGATCTGCCAGCATTGCTACGCTGTCCGACGCCACGTGTGACAGTAAGAAAAACACTAAAAGTGGAAATAGCCCCGAAAGAGAATTCTATGCTAAGAACTTAAAGCGTTAACCATATGTTCCCTAAAACTCTAGCCCTATAGATGACTCAGCTTGAGAATCTGAGGTGGTAAAATTATATCTGCCATCTTGCCTTCCTTTCAGTTGGAGAGTTAGGGCTGCTGTCTAATGTGACGTTCACAACCACAGCTTGATTTTCTCACCCTCTGCAATGCTTCCTTTACTGTACTGACAGCTTGGAGGCAAGAGTTCTAGACATGAAACCTCTGGACCCCTGAAGTCCATGGATGGGTTTTAGAGGGCCTAAAAATCCCCTGGAAGTGTACAGCAAATGTCTGTATTCCTATATACGTGCTTTCTCTCAAAGAAAAGCATCAGCTCTCCTCAGATCTTAAAGGAATTTGTGACTGGGAAATATCGCAGCAGTGTGAGCCAACCACAAAAAACCCAGGTGGGGACTAGGATGGCTGGCAGGGGCCCGTGTAGATCTGACTCCAGGTGTCAGACCCTCGCCCTCCCGGTGCACCCTCAACTCGGCCTCCAACGTAAAGATGGGCCTTGGGCCTCTCCTTGTCTGTCAAGCTATGTCCCAAGAAGATGAAGACTCTGTAACAGGAAACATGAACAAAGTGATCGTGTTCAGAATAAGAACACAAGACATGAAAAGCCATGTGAGAACTTCTCAAGCCAGGCAAAGCAGATGATGGTTTCTGCTACAATGTCACTTACTTTCAATATGTTTATTTCATGACCCAATATCGGTATGGCATATATCTGTCTAACAGTTATTTCAGCTGGAGTGCTAAACTCTGTGTATGTATATAGCACTCTACATTTTCATAAAAATTATTGTTTCTATCCTTCTTTATTGCTATGTCATTATGCACCAAAGCCCCAAATGTCTCCTGGCCATAACTCCTCCACATTCTACTATAGGTTTATTCTTAATTACCACCGGCTAACAGTTTGAAATAAAATGCTTACGGTCCTCATCTTTACCCATGACCACTTCGCTCTGTGTTTGTGGCTTTCTTGTTCATGGCTACTTTCAGCTGGTTCAAGTACCTGATGAAAGTTATTTAACTGTGGGAGGGAATTTTGTGGTACAAACTATATTCCTTCAGTGGAGTAGCACAAGGCCGGGCTCTGTTTTTAGTTTACTTCCAAGATAAATAACTTGTCCCTTCTTGCCCTTCTGTTATCACACCAGCTTTACATTAGAAATGTGTAGATATGGAGCCAAGTAACAGCCTCACACACACACTACACGCATGTACATACACACACGCTCAGAGTCCATGGACCAAGCCAAATCATTACTCTTTTAATCTTTTAGTGTTTCTCAAAGTGCACACATCGTCCGCATGAGAGTTTTTTAGGGTGGGAGGACTTGTTGGACCTGACCTATGTCTGCCAACCCCAAACCAGTCTTTGTACCAGAAAGCGTGAGGTAGGACCCAGGGCGCTGTGTTTGTTAGCATGTATACTGGTGATTTTTAAATAAACTTGAAGCTCACGGCTTAGAAGACTACAGCCTTCCTTGTGTCAGCCCTTACTTTAAAAATCAAAATGGGCTGGTCCGATGGCAGTGGGTTATCAGAACTTATTAACATTAGTGTCACTAAAGTTGGTATACCCCCCCACACACTGATAAATTTGACTAGCTTTAAAAAAAAAACAAATCAAAATGGAGCTGTTTTCACATGCGTCTTGTTCCCCTCTGAGATCGGTGTCTCTTCCTCAGAAACGTTCTCTCTCCTCCTCCCCGCCACTTTGGCGCTAGCTTTTCCCTGTGATATTTTTCAGTCTACATATCCAAGAGTTGAGTTCAGAAAATGTCCGGGGCTTTAGTGTAGGACAACAGTAGTTCCTACAATCTCCATGAGCAAGACCTCGGAGCCCGGCCGTCACCCCCTTGCTCTGCTGCTCTAAGGGCCCTTCGCACCAACAGCTCCAGATGCCCAGACTGCCCAGGGGGTCACAGCCTGCATGCCCCTGTTCCTTCCAAACCTCACCTGGCCCACAAAACCCCTCTGAGCTCCCTTATAAAACAGTTCAAATCACTTCTTTTTTTTTAATGTCTTTTTGAGACAGGGTCTCGCTATGAGGTTCAGGCTGGCCTTGGGCTCACTTTGCAGCCCAGGCTGGTCTCAAATTTGCAATGATCCACCTGCCTCAGCCTCCTGAGTGCTGGAATTACAGGAGTGCACCACCACGCCCAGCTTCAGATCACTAATTCAGAGGCCTTCTCCAAAGGTTTTAAATGAATACACACCACTACCACAATAAATGAACCAAATTCTACATCTCGCCATTCTAATATGCCAGTTACAATACTTGCACTTCTTATGGGTCATATTTCTTACTCATCATAAAATCAAAGTGTAATGAAAAATTTAATCCTGCTTTCCAAACTTAATATCATATCAAATATATTTCCCTTAATTATCATAATTATGGCTTCTAATCACTACAGAATATTTTGTGGAGTTAGTACTTTGAGAACTCCTATTGCTTAGCATTTATATTATTTTCAGATTTTGCTGTTATATAAATGATAATACAATGAATATGTTCATGCATATTATTGCTTCCCTCATTGAATTATTTATTTAGGATAAATTTCCAGAGATGAAATGGGTTGGCCAAGTGTATGAATATTTTAATGGCATTGCTACTTATTGGCAAATTGCTGTATTTGTATTTCACACAGTTCTTTGCTTCAAAGTGGTTAGGAACAGGCTCTCAAGAAAAAAGTTCTGAGGCTTGATTTGGGTTTGCTGGTTTCTGTGGCATAAATACTCCCATTCTGGTGCATTTTTAGCTACCAACCTGATATCACTGAACAAAGAGACAGTCCCATAGCATATATTATTCAGTAGTGGCATATTATTATTTCCATCACGCAGAAAAATAGAAGTAAATAACTCTACAGACTTCCAAAATTTCTGGAAATATTACAATCTGCTCTTGCAAGCAAGTGCAGAGTGGTAATAGAAAATGACTATAAACATTTCATTTGATATTTTAAGAGCATTTTTTTATTGAAGCCCAGTGAAAATATCCCTATTTAACAAATTATGACCATGTTTTTAGGTCAGCAGGTTACACAAATAATGAATAAAATGTAATACACAGTACAGAAGGCACAGGAGTTGTTTGCCTCCTGTGTGTGCCCATTCATCCACACACGTAGTTTACAGAGTGTTTTCCATGAGGTCATGTATACACACTACTCAAACACTTACTTTGAAAATAAACTGAATGGGTGACTGTTACGGATGGTTCTCATGAGAAGTGTGATGAGAGCCACACTGGATGTTACTTCACTGCCTTCCTTGGTTTTCTTTTCTACGAAATGGGGAAGAGGTCACTGCTGATTTCGGTCTTACGAGAAATAACTGCAGAGACAAGGCTCCAAGTTACGCTTTAAGAAGCCCCTGGGTATTCAGCGATACTCTGAAAATTTCTTCCAAAAGTAATTCATTAGTAGGCTACTGTACAGGAAAAGAAGGATGGGAAGTGGTTTGGCACCTTCTCTCTTGAGAGCACAGTTCTTTCTTTGGGCTTTTAAAGAAGGAGCACCTTATGTTTGCAAGTTAAGACGTAAGAACAACTGAGCTACAGCAGCTCACGCCGCTGACCAAGGCATGCTGCTCCCAGCAGCTCATCCCAAGGGAGAGATTCAGAACAACACAAAACACTTTCTGTGTGAAGATTCAACCACCATAACCCAGCGAGCGAGCTGCCTGTCTCTGAGCTTACTCAGTGTAGCATCTTAGGTGCTCGTAGGAGAGTTCCCCTAGATAAATGGCTCCCACACCCCACCTGTAAAATCACGGCTCCAGCTTGAGGGCTTGTATTCTCTGCCACACAGATTCCTGGGTCCCCTCCCAGGGTAATAGTCATGAGAATTCCTAATTCTCAAAAAACCCTCAAGTGGTGCTTTTAACATCCGTCCAACTTTAGGATACACTTTTCCAGACTAGAACTGGATCAGTTAACATCACCTCTGAATTACTGTCCACATCTGGTGAATACATGACAATTTCCCTATGCAAGTTACCAAGAAGTTATTCAGGAATTGAAGCAGCTGCTGGAGTCCAATGACCAAATCACCATGCAGGGCCCGTGTGTTTCTGGCACACCCCGATTCTCGCTAGACCTCTTCCCTCACCGTGCAGCCAACCCCAATACTGACGCCTTCCAGTCCCACTGAACACCTGCTGTAACTCATGTGAAGCCATCCGCACTCACAGAGGCCCAAATCCCCTTGCTTATGTTCTCAGGGAGTCTCCAGGAACAAAAATATAGTGCCATTTGATTAAAGTAATCTGCACACAATATTAAGAATCTCCTGCAATAATTAAGGTACCAGCTGTGCTTGCATTTTTAAAGGGGGCCTTTCTAATCTAGAGAGCGGAAGGGGAAATGAGATGCTTTTTAATCCTGGCTTTCACCCAGACCCAAGCATCCAGAACCAAAATAAGCTTTCTGAGCAATCAAAATGGTTCCACTCCGCAATATGAATGCATTTCTCCTGTGCCTTGCTAGGACTAAAATCAAAATATTCCCAAAGCAAACAATACAATTGCAATTATCCCAGAAAAATACTGTCACTCTCTCTGTCCATGACTCCAAGCACCTTTAGGATTCCACTCAAAGCACAGGGGCCCACACATAATGCAGCAGATACACAGAACAGTTCCATTAGGAGCTGGGCAACTGCTATGGAAAATCTGACTTTTTAAAAACAAAAAAAGTGCTATCATTATAAATACCCACTCTTGTGTCTAGTTCATACTGGGAGCTGAAAAAATGTTAATACCCAGGCTCTACCTGTCATCTCCAGTTTTCTTTGAAAGGAAGATTGGCACTGAAAGTGTGGCTAGTTGGGGATCAGGCTGTCTTCATTTGTGACCATCGCCAAGTCTTTACCAAATGTCCTCAAGGAATATAAACATTATGTGTTGTTGCACCAAGTAAAAGTACTAATAATAATGAAAAAGGAAAAGGAATTTAGTGTTGGAGGGAGGGAGGCGAGTGGGGAGGGAAGGTGAGTAAAAAAGAATCAAGGCTTATTATGCACATGTACCCCCTCCCCAAGATCCATGTAAGCATCACGTACTGCAAACACATACTGATAAAATTTTTAAAAGCATCACAATATTGAGAATCACATATTTGAGATTTTCTTTTATGCCAAGCACTGAGCTAAGTGCTTCACGTGTTTTTATCTCATTTTATCTCTACAGCAACCTACTAAGGTTAGTATTTTCAGTTAGTATGACTGTCATTAGAGATATGTTACAGATATTTTTAAAAAATCTAAACATTGAAGAATGTAAATGACTCGTTCAGGCTTCCACCGCTGAAAGAGGACTGATTCAACAACACGCGGCAAGCTGTCTCCCCTTCTGTATGTTTGTATTATGTGGACTCCGATACTTCACAGTCCAGGAACCGCTGCGACAGGCTCACGACCTACAGCGACGTCCAGGGACAGAAGAGTATATCCGTAACACCTCATTCAGACGTCCAAGGGAAGTAACACCTGCTCCGTGGGATTTAGGACTGGCTTTTGAGGAACGCAGACTTGTTGACCCACCAGCCAGCTCATCCTCCCAAGAGGAAGGCCACATTCATTACAGGATGATTGCACAGAAACCAGAAGCACAGTTTTCTACGTACTCCGAGCCACACACGCCTTTCTCTGCATAAATGGTGCACGAAGGGAAGACACTAAAGAACAAAGAAGAGAGTGTGGACCAACTTGGGAATGCAGACAACAACCCCAAAGATAAAGAGATAAAGATTGCTGAGCTCCCCTCAAACAGAACTCAGTGAGGGCTGAAGCCGCCAATAAGGAAGAACCTAATGACATCAGAGCAGAAAGCTACTGCCAAGAGTCCATTCTCCACCATCATCCCTCAGACTCCTTTAATCTGTCCACCGCTAACTTCCTAATCCTATTTATGGCAATGTGTAAAACAAACCTGCTTCTCTCTTCAGGCTGGTCACACCATCAAGCCAGGCTCACCTTGGTCAAAGGCCACACAGAGCTCAGTCTGAAGTAACTTTGCCCTTCTCTGTGTGCTCCAGCTTTATTCCCTTCCAAGGCTCTCTTCTTTTGGACCACGCCAGCTCCCTCCCACAGGTGCCTGTCCTGGAACTCTCAGAAGCCCTAAACCCCTGCCACCCCATCATCACCAAGTCCCATCATGATTACACTTGATTATACTTCTCACACAACCACTAGCTTCTAAATTCCTTCTAAGTAGAGTTTTCTTTATATTTGTCTTACATGCTCTAACAGTACCAACTCAGAATCAATACTTGGGTCATCGTCTATCTGCTGCTTGCTTGAATACCTCAGTGGCAGTTTTAATTTAGCAAAGCACTAAAAACCACCAATTTCCCCAAATTTACTTAGTTACAATCAAGGCCACTGAATGTCTCCAAATCAAACCACCTCAAAAAATGAAATGTAATTTCCCAACATATATCATAGGCTACTTTTAAAAAGTGTGATTGGCAATACGTACAACAATCACGCTAGGAATTCAAGACGCAAATCTACATGACTTTGATTCTTGTTTCTGTCTCTCCTGAATATTTTTAAAGTGATGTCTGCACACATTAAAGGATGTTTAGATTTACTCATCATATATTGGATAATATTTAAAGTTTAAATTTTAAACTATCCATAGAGTTCAACTCAGTGACAGTCAATTACAACCCCATGCATTCTCTAGCAAGACATCTAGAAAACCATCTTAAAGCCAGCTATTATCATTTTTAATGTTTCAGAAACCTATGTATGTCTTGTTCAGACTCCAGGGAACCGGGTGGAGGGCAAAGGACTCCTACTCCTTCTTTAAGTTGGTTCCCTACTTCACAGAAGGTGGAACACAGTAATTACCATTTTGGGCCTAAAATAAAATCTAAACACAATTAGAAAGGTTCCTTTTGACACTGAAGAAATATTTGTAAAAGGTGAAAAATCTTACCAGTTGTAGAATGCCCCCCAAAAACGTCTTGCCACCAAAATGCCTGACTCCGGAAGTCGAGTTCGCTTGATGCAGGTAGGCAAACACAAACACAGCCCGCGCCTCCTCAGTGTGGCGAGTGTGCTGATCTGTCCATCCAAGACAGGACTGATTCACGTTGGAAGAGCTAAAACCACGAAGTTGCACCAGTGGAAAAGCCAACCAGAGGCAGCTGGGCTTAGCCTGTGCGAAGTGACCGAGACAGCAGGAACAATCCGAATGTGACAAAAGCGATTAGCAAGTTCCTGTGCATCAGTCAATTTCCTGTAGCTGGCTTCTCTGAAGAGGGGGTTTCATTTTGTGTGGGTTTGCGGGGAGGGAGTGTACACGTGCATTTCCCCCCATGAGAACAAGAAACCTAGCCAGCTAAGAGGCAGAATGAGACCCTTGCTGCATGGCTGCGTTTGTGTTTCATGTATCTCTCCCTTCCCACCCACGGATCATTTCTCTCCCCGTACCCCCACTTTCCCCCAGCAAATCTCCTGTGTACACTCTGGGAACAGAAAGTGAAAAATGAGGAAGATTCCTTAAGAAAATAAAATTAAGAAGAAGTTGGGGGTGCGCTGCACTGATGGTCTTGATGAAGCTTGGGGAAGGCTCCTGGGAGCTTGCACATCAGCGTGGTGAACGGGGAGCTGTGAGGGAAGGCGGCAGGGTGGGACCTTGGTGTGACTTTTCTCTGTTAGTAATTACCAGACAATAATTTGGAAAAAATGAGCTCAACCACAGTGAGATCCTGAGCAGCCGCCCTGCACCTGTGTAGGGAGGTACTGGACTCTGAGTTGTTTTCAGACTCCACGGAGTTTCATTATTTGCCTGAAAACACAATTAGTTTGTCTTGCCCCTCCACGGTCCAGGTGTGGAGCCCATCTGCAGTTATCTAGAAGACGGCCAAACTGCCTGCACCTTTCCAGGTGTCGTCACCACCACCTGTGTCTGAATGTTCGGGTAGTCGTTAATGCTTCTGCCAGGGTGACACCTTGGTCCAGATGCCTGTGGGCCATAAGAATAAAGTCACTGCTATTCAGGTGAGCAAACGTTACAGGGCTCCTGTGTGCTGTGACCGAGTGTTCAGTGCTTGGGCAGGGTGGGGCCACACTCAACTCAGAATCCTGTTCTAGCTAATACTGTACATGGGCTAAAAGCCCAAAGATTAACACTGCCGGCTTCCTGTCCTTCCAGCATCCAGCTCTAGGGAGGGGGAGGAACAGAAGCAACAACATTCAAATAAATGCAGAAACTCTAGATTATGGCAAGTATTATGAAGGACCGAGGAAGCAGCTGAGCCCCACAGCTCAACAACATCTACATCCTGGGGGTGACCGACAAGGGCTTCTCTGAGCACCTGACATTCAAGCCAAGACTTAAGTGTGTCGCTAAGCCCTGGCTAAAAATTAGTATTGTCTGAGACCCTTTTAAAAAGTATCAGCACCTGGACCCCTCCCCATAAAGATTCTAACTTAATTGGCCTACATTGAGGCCTGGGTGTCACTATTATTCTAAACTCCCCACTGATGCTGTATCCTTACTGTTGTAATAAATAAGAAGGAGACAGCCTGGGGAGATTAAGGGGAAAACATCCCAGACAGAGACAAACAGTGTGTGCAAAGGCCCTGAGGGGAAAACAGGTTGGCATGTTCAAAGAAATCAAAAGATATTCATGTGTCTGGAGCACAGTGACAGGAGAATAAATGGTGTGAAGATGATCGTCTCATCGATGGACTTAAGTTACCAAGCTCACAAGAGAGTCTTACATGAACTCAACTATCAACTAATTAAAATACAGTAGAAACTTCTGCCAGCTAAGATGCCTGAGCTCTCAGATGGATGTATTATCTTCCATAAAATACTCTGCGGAAAGCTAAATCACCATTGTGTTGTTATTAGGTAAGCAGAACCTATGGCCTTTTGGATACTTCATTTACCTCCATTTTTGTTTATCAAAGGATCTAGACCAGGACTGGGGTGTGTAGCTCAATGGGGGACAGCGTGCCTAGCAAGCGTGAGGCCTGGATTCAATCTCCATTACTGGGGGAAAAAGAGAGAGAGAGATTAGACTAGCTTATAATGGTGGGTACACCTTAGCCAGACAAAACGAGTTAAAGTAAGATTTTAAAATAGGTCAAGAAAAACGAAGGTAAAAAATTATGTCAAAATAAGGAGGAGGGTTAACAGAAAAGATGTCTGCTCTGTGGTTCAAGCTGTTTGGCAAATGGCACAAAGCAAAAAGCAAACCAGAAAATTCAGTGCTCACTGGATAAAAACGAACCTAGCTGAAGATGAGAGAGCCTCCCGGGCCTCTGGTGTGACACTGAGAGAAACTGCCCTGGATTGTCCCAGAAAGGACACGGCAGGCCAAAGCGAAACACAGTCCTTAGGCCAAATGCAGCCAGAACAATTTTGTGAGGTGCTCCCTCGTACGTCGCCCCTCAAGGTCAGGCTGTCTTGCTCTCACGAAAGAGCCCACGGGCACCTGGCCAGCTGTCCTGGGCCAGTTTCATCCAGCGTGAAGACTGACTTCAGATGTGCCTGGCAAATTAAGGATGAAAGACTTTTCTGACTCAGGCTTCCAGAAAATTTGGGGTGGCAAAGAGTTCAAAAGGGGTGGCACCTTCGGCAAAAGCCTCTGTCACTTTTTAGAAAAGCATCAGAGTCAGGTAAGGACGATTCCGCCTCCAGCAGAGGCCGAGGGCCAGAGGGCCACAGCCTGATCTGCGAGCTCAGGCAGGGCCTCAGTCACCACACATTTTGTGCAGAGGGTCGGTGACTCTAGGGTGGACTGGGGTGTCCACAGGGCCTGGCTTTTCCACCCCCACCTGGAAAGGCCCGGGTGGGGACTGCCATGCTCAGCTGTGACACCTTTCTTTCCCGCTGCTTGGGTTCGCAGCCAACCTGCCCTCAGCAGGGCACTTTCTCTGCATGCAGAACCAGGAGCCAGGCTGGGCCTCCTCCAGCGCCCAGCTGAAAACTTCTGCTCTTCGCAGAGGGTTGAATCTCAGAGGGGGTTTACTTAGGAGGGGAGAGGAAGGAACAGCTATCTGTCTTCCTTTCTTGGAAATGTCTCTTTTTGGTGGCTGGTTGCTCTCACTAGCTCTCTCTCCTTCACCCCCTCCCTGCCTCTTATTCTTTAAACAGAGTTAAAACGGGTAGCAAGGAGGGCTAGTAAGGGGAGAGGAAGCAAATGACCTAAAATACATTCACAGATGCAGAAAAGCGTTTGACAAAGTCCAGCACCCCTTCATGATAAAAACCCTACAGAAAATTGAAACAGATGGTCTTTATCTCACTCTGATACAGGCCATCTATAACAAACCAACAGCCAACATCATACTAAATGGACAAAAACCGAAAGCTTTCTCTCTAAAACCAGGAACAAGACAAGGATGTCCACTGTCTCCACTCTTACTCAACATAGTCCTGGAAATTTTAACCAGAGCAATTAGATGAGAAAAGGAAAAGGAAAGGAACAAATTAAATTATTATTATTTGCAGATGACATGATACTGTACGTAGAAGACGCCAAAAACTCCACTGAAAAACTGTTAGATTTAATGAGCAAATTCAGTAGCATCGCTGGATACAAAGTCAACACTCAAAAGTCAACAGCCTTCCTGTACACAAATAACGAACTCACGGAGAGAGAAATTAAGGAAACAGCAGCTTTCACATTAGCATCAAAAATGAAATAGCTAGGAATCAATCTAATGAAGGATGTAAACAAACTCTGCATTGAAAACTATAGTACTCTGAAAAAGGAGATGAAAGAAGGTATCAGAAAATGCCAAGACAGTCCTGCTCTTGGGTAGGAAGAACCAATACAGTGAAAATGGACATACTTCCAAAACTGTTATACAAATTTAATGCAATTTTGATCAAAATTCCAATAGCACATCTCACAGAATTAAAGAAAACAATCCTAAAATTCATTTGTAACCAGAAAAGACCTAGAATAGCAAAGGCAATTCTGAGCAACAAAGGCAAGGCAGGGGGCATCACAATCTTGAGTTGAAATTATACTATAAATCTACTATAATAAAAACAGCATGATACAGGGGGGAAAAAAAAAACCCAGATCCAAAGATCAGTGAAACAGATTTAAAAATGCAGAAAAATCTCCAGACATACTAGTCACCTTATCTTTGACAAAGAGGCCAAACACATTCACTGGAAGAAAGATAACCTCTTTAAAGGGCTGGGGATATAGTTCAGTGGCACAAGCACCTACCTCACAGATACAAGGTTCTGAGTTCAATCCCTGGTACAAAAAAAAAAAAAAATTCAGTAAGATAGCCTCTTTAAAAAATAGTACTGGAAAAACTGGCTCTGCACATGCCAAAAATTAAAATTGGACCCATATCTTGCACCACACACTAAACTAAATTTGAAATGGATCAGAGATTAAAACAGAAACATTAAATATGCTGGAAGACAGAGTAAGTAACAAAACTCCTGAAAATGCTGGCAGGCAAAGACTTCATGAATAAAACCCTGATCACACAGGAACTGTCCCAAAGAATCAACAACTGGGTTCTCATCTTATTAAAAAGCTTCAGCATATAAGAGAAACCACCAACAGAGTGAACAGACATCACACACAGTGTGGGAGAAAATGTCTGCCAGCTGTACCTCCAACAAAAGATTACTATTGAGAACATATAAAGAACTAAAAAAAAAATTAGTCCTCCCAGATTTAAAGACCCAAGCCAAAAATGGGCATCTGAGATGAATCCACACTGCTCAGATGAAGAATTACAAACAGCAGATAAATATATTTTAAAAATTCAACATCATTTGTCATTTGAGAGATGTAAATTAAAACAACACCAAGATTCCCTCTCACTCCAGAAACAATGGCTATTATCAAGAAATCAAGTAATAACAAATGCTGGAGGGGCTGTGGGGGAAAAGGAACCCTTCTCCACTGTGAGTGGGAGTGTAGCCTGGTGCAGCCACTGTGGAAATCAGTGTGGGGCTTCCTCAGAAAACGAGGCTTGGAAGTCCCATTTGAGCTGCTAGTCCCCTTCTTGGTATCTTCCTAAAAGAACTAAAAACATCGTACCACAGTGATATATGGGCATCTATGCTTGTAACAACACAATTTGTAATAGCTAGATCTTGGAAACAACTTAAATGCCCATCAACTGAAGAATGGATGCCTGGAGAATACAAGGTCCTCAGTTCAATTCTAAGAGAGAGAGAGAGAGAGAGAGAGAGAGAGAGAGAGAGAGGTGGTCTTTTTATACAATGGAGTACTACTCAACCATAAAGAATGACAAATTTGAGGTTTATATATAAAAAGATGCAACTCCAGACCACACTAAGTGAAATAAATCAGACACACATGTGTACACATTGTATTGTTCCCTAGTATGAGAAGCTGAAAGCATAAGTGAGATCCCAAATGTACAATAGATATTGTAAAATGCGAAGAA